ATTAAAATTTTTTCATTTGATATTTTATTGATTACTTTTCTGTGTATTATCCAAGTCCCCTTTCATACCAGGATGTAAATTTTAAGAGAAGACGCTGTGTCTAGCGCATTCACCATCTAGAATATTTCTGGAAACTAGAAGATATAACAGAAATAGGGACTGATTTAAATATTTGTTGAATTAATGTATGTACGATCTTGTACATACATTATGTAAAGTAAATGCATATAAGTTGTAGAGACTTTCAGAACCTCAGTTGTAGAGCCTTTCAGAACCTCAGTTTCCCCACATGTAAAAAGGTTTAGTCCCTAAGCAAGATTATTTCAAGATGAACCAAGATAACCCATATATACTGCCTTGCTTCTCCAAGAGGTTAAAGGCAGAGAACTGTATATTGTGGATTTTTTTATGTACACACAAACAAATATCAATATGTTATTTTCTTCCACAAAACAGACTATGTGCAAAAAAGTATTAATATACTATTCTACATCCTCCATTTATCACTTAAGAATATTCTAGAGGTTTCTCTACATTGATACATGGAGCTCTTACTCTTTTTTTTAAATGTTTGGCTTCCCCAAAGTTTATCCACATGGTTAGACACAGAGTGGTTTTCATTTGCCTGCTAAGGCAAAGATGAGATTTCCTGTGTGTAGCACCAACCCTTAGCTAGATTACCAGAAGTGAGATTGTTTAGTCAAAGGTAAATGCACTTGTACTTTAGGCAGATATTGTTAGATTCTTCTATGTAAGAGTTACACCATTTTGTCCTTCAACCAGCTAGGTGTGAATATTCCTGTTTCCCAATAGCCTTGCCAAGAGAATAGCTGTTCAGTGAGTTCTTGATTTTTATTAATTTGATACAGAGAAATATACCTGAGAACTGTCTGTTCATGTCCTTTGACTTTTTTATGCTAGCAGGTTTTTTTTTTAAATTTCTTTTAAATGCATTTTATTGAAATATAATTTATGTACAGTAAAATACATAAAACTAAAGTGACATGAGTCAATGCATTTTTTTTTCATTGTTCCCTTCCCTCCCCTCCCAACCCTGGTAACTAACAAAGAAAGTTTCCTTCTATATATAAACCTTTCCTTGACTTTTTACAATAATGAACTAGTATTAGTATATTTGCCCTTCTGTGATTGACTTATTTCACTCAGCATGATGTCCTCCAAGTTCATCTATGTTATGTGGTGTTTTGCAGATTCTACACTATTTTTTAGGGTTGCATAGTATTTGTTTGTGTGTGTGTACCACAGTTTGGTTATCCATTCTTCTGCTGATGTGCATGTAGGTTGTTTCCATCTTTTTGCTATTGTAAGTAGTGCTGCAACGAACATGAGAGTGCATGTATTTGTTCTTGTCCTGGCACTCACTTCTTTAGGATATATACCTTGTAATGGGATTGCTGGGTCAAATGGTATTTCTAATTCCAGCTTTTTGAGGAATCTTCATACTGTTTTCCACAGTGGTTGTATCATTTTACAGTCCCACCAGCAGTGTATGAGAGTCCCAATCTCTCCACATCCTTGCCAGCATCTGCCATTTTCTGTCTCGTTGAACCTTGCCATTAGTGCTGGGGTGAGATGGTATCTCACTGTTGTTTGATTTGCATCTCTCTGATAGCTAATGATCATGAGCATTTCTTCATGTATTTGCTGGCACCTGAATATCCTCTTTGGTAAGGTATCCATTCATGTTGTCTGCCCATTTTTTAATTGGATTGTTAATCTTTTTGTTGTTGAGGTGTTGGAGTTTTCCATAAATTTTAGAGGTAAGTCCCTTGTTAGATATGTAATTATCAACAAGTATGAATTTGTTGTTGTCATTTTGTTATGTGCTTTTTCGTGGTATTGATTTCTTTGTTCCATATAATATTCTGTGCTGAGCTCATTTTGTCTATGAATCGTGTTGTCTATGAATTGTCACTTCTTTGTTGCTATTGTTTTAGTATTTGCTAAATATTTGTACTTCCCAGAAGGAAGACTGGACAGTCTACTTCTGTAGTGATATCGCCTCAGAAATCCAAGGGGGGCTCGCTATGAGTCAGGTCTGATTCGACAGCACATAACAACATCAACAACAAATATTTGTACTGGTCCTCCTTTTTATTTTGGTGTGAAGGTTTATCATTTTTCTCTGCAGTTACCCTGTGATTTATAATTTCTTCTCAAGCTTAGAACAGTCTAAACTGTTTAGAACAAGTTCTATCTTGTCCATCTTGACTTCCTTACCATTTAGAAGTTTTATAACTACACAGTTTTTCCCTCTTTTTGGTTTGTAGTTGTCTTCATTTGTCAATTGATGTCTCTGGTTTCCTGTTTACAATCTTGTAGGCTTATTTACTTTGGATACTTTTATAACTGGGTTCGTTTCTGGGTTATGTCATCATGTGTGTTAATGGTCAGTTGTTTGTTGTTTGGTTCTCTGTCCAAAGGACTCCCTTTAGCATCTCTGGTAAGGTTGGTCTGGTTTTAACAAATTC